AGGAAGGCAGCAGGCTAGAAATGGCACAAATTGCTCTGATTGCTGCCCACCTCTGGCTTGTAGTACTTTTTTTTTTTCTGAGCTACAGGCATTTTTGGTGGCTGAAAATGGAAATGCAGAAGTCGTACCCTGACTTCTGTTTGTACTAGTTGGGTAAATACATGCCTGGATACCACATGGCTCAATGCTGGTTTAAATTTCTGGCTGCAATTTGCTCTGGTTTCTGTATAAAGCCTTTTCAGCACTTCACTACCATCCGACCTCAGCTGAGGAGGCGAGAGATACCTGGGTACCAAAGGGGTCCTTTACAAGGGAAATATTTTACCCAGCAGGAAGGCTGGATAACTTGCTGTTGAGATAGCAGGGAGTCATGCACTGCAATTAATCCCAGCAGTTTCACTGAACCTTTTATTTCTCTTTTTCTTGTTACATTAGCTATGCAATAATAATTTCAAGTTTAGGATTTAACTTGTGAACTCTTGGGAAAGAGGAAAGGATATAAGTTTTGCTAAGTCAGAAGCTAAAGTATTTGTATGTCTATTAAAATTATTCATAATATGCAGAGCCTATCTCAACACTCCTATATCATAAGGGATAAACAACTGCAAAAATATACAGCATCCTATTTATTTACAATATATATATGTACATAAAAATGAAATTTCCTACAATACAACACAACTGCATAGATTTGTCTTCAGAAACATAGACATGTGTACAATTTGTGATTTCTAGACCTTTCCAGCCCTGTACTTTTTATTAATTAATTATCTTTTTTTATTTTCTCTTTTCACAGTTTGTTACAGAAGTCCTTACATTAGATACAAATAAAACATTCTTTGTGTACGGTATAGGAAATAAGGATTTTCCTGATGCCAAGGGCTCTGGGGAATTGTTTAGTAAAGCACCAGGTGATAAAGCCATCTTGTGGAGCTGCTGATAGAGCTGAGTACATTCTGCTGTGCCTACAGGCACTGGGGTGGGACAGCAGGACTGGAGGTGGGACACCACCACGTGGAAAGAGTTTCATTTTGACCAAGATGCTCTTTAGCCTTAATGTAAGGTTCAAGCAAGGAAACCTATTCACCTGAAGGTAAGCTAGAGACACCATTAACTGTCACGGTTCGTAGCCTCAGAGAGCACTGTGGTGCTCACGCGTCGTAAGGCAGAGGCGCGGACGTAACCCGTCTGTCGTCCCACCTGCATTTCCACGTGTGACCTACTGCAAGTGGAGCACAGGCCGGGGTCAGTCTGGGGCTCAGGAGAGCAGCCCTGGGGAGCAGATGGGCACCCCCACCCCTGGCCTCACAGGATGTGACCGGCCGCCCTGCCCCGGGCCCGCGCACGGGTCAGCCCTGCAGGAGGGCTGTGCTGGTGCACGGATTTGGCGTTGGGCCTCTGCCCAGGAGCGAGCACCACCCGGGCGGGGGTCACTGCTCCTGAGAACTGTTCCAAAATAACAGTGCACTGTGTTTTACCTACTAGGCCTGTTTGCCATCGGACAAAGAAGGGCGCCTGCATTCTGTAACCCTAAGGGTACTTCAAGCTCATAACTGTTTTCTATGCAATTTCCTGTGGACTAGGAGAGGCAGCAAGGCCATCTTTTATTAGGAGCCCCTGCTTCTAATTTGCCTTTCCTTGTCCCTCACCACTCAACTGTTGCTATTAGGCAAATGAGAATTTTAAATTATTTTGTTGTAGTTATTAGGAGCAATTTTGCATCCAGTCTATGACATTTGCAGTGCTCACAACAGTGATAAACTCTCTATGAAAAGAAAGCATGCTACCTACCAAGTAGATACGGTACTCTGGATCCTATTAATTTAATAACAGAGAAACTCCTAAAGCATTTCACTGTGCTCTTAAAATCCTAGCTAAAATGTGGGACTCGTACATCATTGGCTACAAGTTCACTATTCCAAATGAACTGAATAACAGCAGTACAATTTACAGATAACCTCATACAAATATTGTCATCCATCACTGATGTTGACAGTTACAGCAGGGTCTATTGCATTCTGTTAAGAATGTATAAACCTGATGAGAAAACAAAAAGCACGTTATTTCACGTTCATTACCACAGACATCAATAAACACATGAGTCCTTTCCATAAATATCTATAAATATGATGCCAGTAAATCAGTCTAAGCAAAATTCCCTCTTTTTTTTTTTTTTCAGAGACCCAGAAACAAAGTCTGTTTAAAGACTCAATATTTTGGGTGTCTGTTTTTCAGTATCTAAGATATGCTTTGATGGTCCAGTACCACGGGTACTTTCACTCTATGCACACATCCAGCTCATTCTTCTCCCTATTTATCCAATAAAACTCCAGTATACAACTAAACTGGGAAAAAGAAGGTGGCAAAACAGCAAAGAGGAGAGAGAGGGATAGTGATGGAAGAGATTTGGGAAGATGCAAGGAGCAATCAGTCACCCAACAGCCCTTCAAGTCCAAGGAAGCTGAATGCCAAAACTCAACGGTTGTTGTCTTACGCACAAGACTACAGACTATTTGGTAGGGCATGGTTCACAACTCCCCAGTGCACAGAGTTGTGCTGCTCATAAATCAGTAGTGGAATAAGGATGAAGAGGGAAGGAAAGCAGGAGAGCCCTGAAACATCTTGAGGTTGACACTGTACAGCATTCTTAGGTCTGAGTTAGGGTTTTTAGAATAAGATCCAGAAAGATTTTAAGGCACCTCAAAACCTGAAATGCAACCCCAGCTAGTTGTGTCAGAGAACGGAGTGAGATGCTGGGCTCCTGCTGCAGTGACCAGCGAGGGCTGGGTGAGACATGCACTTATATCCCAGGCTCGGAAGATGCCTGGGATGAGCTGCAAGGAGGTGGGAACAAAGCCTAAGTTCTTCTCTCCAGAGCTCAACTAACACCTGGGCTTGTGGGCTATGGTATGGACTTCTCTGTGAACAGGGGCAGGGATCTGTCTCATGAAGAGACTGCACAGAGAGAACTGGTGACCTGCACCATGGCAGGCAGGGGTTTGAGACCAGCCACAGGAAAGCACGAGTGACCTCAGCCTGGATGTCCAAGTAGCTCAGCAGTTTTTTGTGTTAAATGCTGGGCTGGGGGTGCTTGGGAGGCATTCCACACCAGAGACCTTGCTGGGAGCCTCTGAGTGAAGGTCTGAGAGGCCAGGAAAAAAACAGAGCAAGAGAACCCTGCTCTGCAGTCTAGCAGGTCACTGTGCCTGGAGAGTCTGTTCTTGCTGCTGGGATACTCCAAGGACTTGGGCAGCCTGCAGAGTCCACTCTCTGTTTCTGGGTCACAGTGTATTGGCAGAGCTGGGCACTACCTAGGCTGAGGTACAGATCTAGAAGTCTGGGTTTAGTAGGCTTAGTTCTGCAGCACGAACACTCTGCATCTCAATACCCAAATTCCAAGGAAGGCCCCAAACTAACCTTTCTGGATGTTACCCTTAGAAACCAACATTCAATGTCCTGTGAAGCGCTCTGTGGTCTCAGCTCTCAGTGACTTCAAGCCATGTAGGACAAGGCAATGGCAACTAAGGCAATTCAGTAGCTCACAGAAATCCCAAGTTCCCTAATTCTCCATCCTTAACCTTAAAAAGAGCAAGCTGTAATGACAGGTTCCCCACAGCCGATGGGAGTTACAGTTACAATGGCAGTCAGCAATGAGCCAGCTACCGGGGACAAAAGGGTCACTGCGTACTGACAGGAATGGCTCAAGCATACTGAGGGCATCGCTCAGCCCTTGGGTGTGAAGCAGGGCTCCCTTTAGCCATTGGTTCTTTCAGTGGGAGCTGGGTTCATTTTCTGAGATGCTTTTTAGCTCACACAGTGCATGACACAAAGTGAACATGTTTATGCTGCTGGCAGTGCACTAACAGAAGATGTCTGCTCAGGACAGTTAACAATCACCTGCTTAGCGTTTGAGTCTCTACAAGTAGTTCTCTACACCAGCTATAAGGCTTTAGGCAAATGCTTATTTTGTGGACAATAGATACAAGTTGCAGTGTTTCTGCTAGTAGTAACTGAACATCTTTAATTGTTATGGAGAATCAATGGAAAATGTAAATGTAATATTTTAAATATAAAAAGTGTTTCTGTTTGTTTAAAGAAATGTTACAGATTTCAATTTCCATTAGAAATCCAGTAGTTTGGCAGGGCAAGTCAAATCCTGCTTCCCCTGCTGTCAAAAACCCTGTTGACTTCAGTGGGAGGAGGATAAGACACAAGAGAGGAGCCAGTCTCTACAAGGTTTGTGCAAATGAGTCCCAGAATGGAAAAGGCATGAGGTATGATTAAATGCATGGGTTCTGATAAAACTGGAGCTTGATATTTTTTTTCTGAGAGAAGTTGAGTATCACTAAACAGTTTAATGCTGAAGAAAATGCAGATTTCCTGTGGAAATCTCTAAGCGCCTGCTTCTCTTCAGGCACAAGCACTCATGGTTTGGGATCAAAGTCTATTTCTTGGCATGCTCCAACTGAAGTGTGCCAGGGGAACGGTGGCTGCTGGTGGTGGCCATCCTACTCCCTGCACCCCATCATGAAGACACACAGACACACAGAGACACACACACAGGTCTGTTCCCCAAAGCCATAAAAGGGCCAAGCCCTGGGGCTGGCTCCCTCACTAGAACATCAGAGAGATGCACCAGATTTAGGACCTACACTCATACAACTCTCATTTACCTTATGGTACTTTTTGTGCCTATATCCAGAATGCTACACTTAACCCAGTGAGGCAAATGGTGCATGAAACAGCCACAGAACAAACAAAAAAACAAACAAACAGGGTGTGTACAATTGGAGAGCAGAGTTTTGGCTAAAAGATGGGCTAGAGGGGTTGGGTGGGGGGAAAGAGAGCGAACTGACGTCACTCCAGTTGGGACTGACAACAACAAGCACTGCTGCCCTAGAGAAGCAGAGATCATGGTTGAAAGGCCAAGGATAACAATGGAACAATGCGATTCATGGGTGGAAGAGGGGAAACATTAATTGTGATGAATTCCTACAGTGATGCTCTATATAGTCTCACAGACTGAGCGCTGGTCTGATAATGCAGTATTGGGTGACAGAGCGATATGCCTGTTGGAGAACCAGGTGTGTTTTCTGCAAGAAAATACACCCATAACAGTATTTTCATTACTGGATAGTCATTATTTGGATTTGAGTAAACTCACAAAAGATGGAATAGATAACAGAACGGATGGTTGCGATTTTGGTGTGTAGCAGACAGGGGTGTCTTCTTTTCACAAGGAGTTGAACTTCAGTGGCGTTCAGCACTGCCTCCTGATTGTACCCAGTCATAGATGACCAAGGGAATGCTCACTAGGGAAAACATTATCCCTAGTGCCAAGAAAAGAGAAGCCTGGAACAAAAAGGAGAGAAAATTAATGAATAAAAAGAAAAGACAATTAATTCAAGTATGTTAACTTCTTTTAAGGAGATTTACAAGGTGATGTATCAAATTTATCAGCCAAAATGGGATAGCACTTCTGGTAAAGACAAGACCCATAGATAATTAAACAGATTAGTGTCATTAATAATTACTTGCTGAACACCAAAACCAATTTTTTTCTCCTTTCAATTCGCTCCTTAAATACTGATCATCCCTAAAGAGGATTAAGAGAGGCTGTTTTTAGGACTGATCAGCTCCGCTCTTTTCAAAGCCTCACGGAAATAAGTATACCCTTCCCATTGGATACGTGTCCATCGAAGTTCAGCCCTTTTGTCCTGATGTCTGTGGACGGAGTCACAAGAGAAACATGTGTTTCCTGCCTGTCTGCCCACAGTAGGAAGGTCTGACCTTCCAATGCTTCCGTTAGACTGGGAATACACACGAGAGTTGCATCTTTTCAGCTGCGGCTCTTTTTGGGGCTCATAGGAAAACTTCCCAAGGCATGTTCCCATCTGCTCATGCATGCCAAGGGCCTAACACTTCAGCTGGCTGCTTTTGGTGGAAGCACCCTAAATCTGACTGGGGCCCATGACAACCATAAGGAACACCGCAAACGGTGCGCTTTGCACGTTTTCTGGATCAGCACGCAGAAAGAGAGAAAACCTGCTGGGGTGAAAGGTTTGCTGAAGTGGGCTGGAGGGGTACCTGCACTCTGCTGACAGCTACAGATGCTTGCAGAGTGCCACTTGCCAGCCAGGGGAAGAGCCCCTCACCCCACAAAGAAGGTCCCTCCAGAACTCAAGGTGCCCTGCATGGTGTGGCCCTGGCACTGGGAGACCCCCAGGGTAAGCAAAGGAGAAAGGCAAGCACAGCTCCAACTGACTGAAATGAGGAGGAAAAGCAATGTAAAGCAGCTCAGACATATGCTCAGGTTAGGTACACCCTGCACCTAGCACATTCTAAGGACTCTAAGGAATGACAAGATGAAAGTGTTGCATTGATGGGAAAGGAATGCATACCCAAATCCTCTGAGTCAACTTTGATCCATCCTGCTGTGTAATTTTTAAATACAATGATGAAGGAAGGATGAAAATCAGCATATTGGCAGAAGTGACCCCTGCAAAATTCAAATAAATGAGTTTTGTTTGCCCTCAGCAACAGCCAGTTATTGTGTTGCTGATTAGCAACAATCTTTTATTAGTAGTACAAAACCAGGATACTGTACCTACAACTCCGAAAATATCCTTCATGGATGGGATAAAAATGACTAACAGGTTTATGATAATCAACAGAACAAAAGTAACCAAAACGTGACGGCGTAAGTCAAATTTGGTTTTCCTAGCCAGTTCAAATAATGATGAACGCACCTGTAGGAAGAGAAAGAGTCATCTGTCAGAAACAGCCTAAAAGCCGATGCAAAGCTTTCCATATTTCTTTTAATCGGTTTTTTATGTGACAACAAGCACTGCACAGATCTGTCAGGGGTCTCTGATGTAACATCCTTCGAAATAATCCTTAAAATTAATCTGATATTTCAAAACTAGGTATACATGCAACTGCAGTAGGATATTCCTCTCTTTCTAGAGTGCCTTTTGAGTTCATCCTGCACTTAAAAATGAACTTTGCCTCCGAGCCTGCTCCAGTGAAGTCATGTAAAGTAAGAGATAGCCCTTGTGGATTCAATTTAAAACAGATTTAAGACCAAAAGCAATGATTTCCTGCAGGAAGAATTTGTCCAGAAGTTAGTGGGAATCTGGTGTGGGAAAAGTCTGATCCAAGCTCGAGCTCTTTCCGTAGCTGCAATGCCACTGCCCTGGCAGCTGCTGGGCGGTGGTTTGAAGAGATGTGCTGTGTACAGCTCTTCCCGACCTCAAACCGTGCGGAGCTTCTCACTTACAGTGAAAAACAGCACTGGCACCGTCAGTATCACCGCTACAATCACAGCCAAGCGCACGGTCAGGATGAGGATGTCATCTTTGCTCTGGTACTTGTGAAGCAGATCTGACTGCACATTGTCTATGGAAAAGACAGTAAGATAAGAGCTCTGGCAAATGGGCAATTCATTCACAAAAAAATCATTGCTTAACAACAGCCTTCTTGAACAACAAGTGATTTATCTGCAAACAAAAGAGTATGGAATGAAACATTCTTGAGTTAAAACAGTGCTTTGAACCAAATCCTAATGATCCCATTATTCCAGATTAATCCTTTGGAGGCCTGACTTAGGAATGCATCCCAATTCAAGACAGCACATGTCTAAGTCTAAGATAATTTTCACTGTAGGAAAGACAACAGTGAGACATACACAGAAGTCTGCTTACATATATAAAAAAAATAAGTAAAGTGAAATAAGCTATTTCTAATTAGTTCCATGGGCTTTTTTCTTTTTTTCTTTTTTTTTTTTTAAAGTTTCAAGTGATTTAAAAATAACCACATGCATTGCAATGGCTGAACTTAATACAAACTACAAGGTTCTGAGCTCAGTTAGTCTAAAGAGCAAATAAACTTCCAGCAAAAAGCAGTGCCCCTGTTCTCAACTAAGAAGAAAGCCTGTCTTGGGTTGACTCTCAGTGGGACGCTCTGACATTTGCACTCAAATCCCTCAGCAGCTCCTCCGAGGGCTGCCCCGATGGCTTTTTCTCTTTGGGCCTGCCACCCCCCTAGCAGTGCCTGCAGCTCAGCCCCATGCCGGCCGGTGGCCCCAGCAGCCAAGACAAATCATGGGAGGGTGCCTGATGGGGAGGCACTGGTGATATTTTAGTATGACCCTCCTGCAAAAACATTTCCTTGAAGCTGTGATAAATACCACAGAGCGGGCCTGCATGTGCTAACCAACAGAAAAACCAACCTCAAGTTGCTGAGGGACCTGTGGATTTGCTTTGTAACTTTCAAAGATCTGGAAGCAATAACCTAAGGGGGCAGCTGTTAAGTGCACCACAAAACATACTTGCTGCCCCTTTTTAGGCTCACGTTTTGTTTCTGACTGCTAATCTTGGAAAGCTGGTGGTAAAACATAATAGCTCTTAAACCAAAACCCTTAAAGGGAACTTTTTGGCCACGTCTAATTTAAAAGCTTTGGCACTTGGTAAAACCTCATGTATTCCTGGAGGCAGAGGGATCTGTCCTGCGGCAAAATGCCCGCACTACTCCCAGGATGCCCTTCTGGGGAGAGGTTAACACCACCTACGCAGTGCTTGAATCCCCACCAGGAGAAAGAAAACGCTCTCCCACCTCCCTGCAGATTAGGAGTGGGGTTTTCAAGCCGGGCACATGCACAGCTTCTGCAACACAGAGCTTACTCTGCTCCTGCAAGCACAGACTGCAACTTCTGTACCGCTCACGGACTGCAGCCAGGTAGGAAGTGAAGGGCAAGGCTTACAGTTGAAGGTCTGTTTTCCTTTCAGCTAGATACACCACAGAGCCCAACCACAGTGTGACCTTTTAGGGGAAGAAAAACACCTCTTTTCTGTAATTCTGCAATGTAAATATAGTCATCACTGCAACACTTTCGAGAACACAGCAAACAGACAAGTACTATTGGTGCAAAGAAGAAATGGCCACAATAAAAATGCTGATCCTACCCAGGTAAGGGTAGAGAAAAGCGTTAGAAAACTGTAAGAGAACACAAAAGGTCTCGTCAGTGTTAAGGGGAAGAAGGATCAAAGTGGAGGAATTTTATATTCCCTCGGTGTCTTTTTTGCTGCCTGTCATGGCACTGACCCTTGCAGAAGCTCCAGCAGAGCTGCACAGCTTCCACCCACAGGCTCTCAGCGCTGGGGGGCAGGGACGCCTGACGTGGGGAGAGGCACACGAGACACCCCAGGGATTCCTCCGCCATTCCCCCTCGGGAGGGCCAGAAGGACGCAGCCCCTACCTCCTCCATGGACTCCAGACCCTCGTCCTTGAGGGGTGTGGGAGATTCCCAGAGAGGAGCGCCACGGATCTGCCTCCTCAGATCCCTGGGGCAATCACATCAGAATCTCCTCCCTGCCAAAGCGAAGGGGTCCATGCTGATTTACACCCACTTGCTCCCTGGGGCTGATAATTTGATGCATTTCTACAAAAATGTGTTAGATGGGAGCAGTTGGATGAGAAAGGCTGTTGCTGTTGTCACTTGCAGCGTATGTGGAGTTTTAGTGGGAAAATTAGAACAGATGACCTCAAGTTACTTCAGTGCATGCAGACTCAAGGTCTCATAATCAGAATGAGAGCCTGAGAAAACAAATATGAGATAGGTACATCTTTGAAAAAAAAAAACACCACATTTCATATTTACTTATTTCTTTCTCTTGCTGTACAATGAATGAGGAGATTGTAACAAAAAGGTCACTTCGGATAGGGTGGAGAAGACCGATGACCTTTTGGTAACTCTGAGGTAAAAGGCAAACATCAGTTTTATCATCTTGTAACCCGTTAGTAGTCTATGGAAAAAGACACTACTTTTCAACATTGCTGTTACACTGGATCAGGAGAGTATCTTCCTGGGCAACATTCACATTTTATCCTACTTTACTTAATAATTGTGCCTTTAGGACACACATGTTGTATTCTTTGATGATACAACATCATTTCTTTGTTTCTTTAGGTGAACAGGTAGGCATTAAAGGAGACACGGTCGGTGCAAGTCTCAAACGCTGAAATAACCAACCACCCTTTGGCAGCTGAGCTGGGGAAACACACAAAGCTTCTGTACCTCCACTGCCAGTTTATTTAACCAAGACCTGAAGGGGTCAGCTCTAGAGACAACATTTGATCCTAGGGTCTTGTGATGAAAGTGTTAATTAGGAAATGAAAAAGCTGTGGTGGCTGATTTGACTCATTTCCTTGGACCTGCTCTCAAATCAGACTTATTTTATGCAGATATGCATGCTTCAGTCATTACCAATGTACACAACATTAGGTGAGGACCTTGGAATGAAACTCTTAGTAGGGCCCAGCTAATCCCCAATTCTGTTAAACAAATCTCTCCCTCATGTTTTCAATATGCCTTTTGCAAATAGTACTTTCACTTAGGCTTTTCAGGGGAAAAGGAGGAAAGGATTTGTACTTTCAGCATGAAAACTTTAAGGAAAATTATTTGCAAAAGTGTTTTAAAATAAGTGGATGGGACCTTTCTTTCCAGCTGGGGTATGTCACTGATTTCTCATGTATTCCCTTTCCGCTTTCATCGGTAAAGAACTGCATACTTACCGTAGAAAGTCAAATAGCCAAATATGGCAGTCATAAAGTACATCACAAACATGGCAAAAAATGAGATATTTGAAACCAGCTGCATTTTTTTCTGTGAACGGCTGGGGAAAAAAAAGAAAAAAAGAACATATAAAAATGGTTGAGCTGGATTTTTCAATAGCTGCTTTAGAATGTATTAAGTTTTCACATAAACATAGTAATTCTGAGGCGACTCATGAAGTTAAATTTTCATTTAAACCAGGAATTCACTGACAGCTGCACAAGCGAGAGAAGGACTGGGGAAACAGACCCTTCTTGGGGCTTTAAGTCAAGAAATGGTGGGTCTGCCTGGCAGCTCTGCTCTTTGGCCTTACTTGCTTATACAGAGTGGAGGGTGAAGCAGAGTGGAGAGGGATGGCCCTTAAACACTTCTGTAATCAAATTAAAAGGCCAAAATAAAGGAAGAGTTAAATTACACAGAGAGGGGAAAAAACACATTCTGAATGTTTGCAGTATTTGTGTCCCCATGGCTAGAAAATAATGAACATATGCAGACCACTGTACTTCTGTTAAATAGGTTAAGTGTCAAAATTCAGTTTTTAGGTATTTGTTTGGAAATAGACACACTTTAGTATCTAAACTTAGACTTTTAAATCCACACAGGGTGCCCTGAATAGGCCCCTGGGAACCTGCTGAAGTCACTTGAAACTCAAATCACCCAGCAAGCAGCCAAGACCTGAGGGCACCCATGAGTCTGACTGACCCTGACCTCTCCTGGGGCTCCACCCATGGGCCAAGACCTCCCTGCAGCCCCCCAGAGATGTCGCAGCAGGGTCGGCCTCCAGCTCCCCACAGCCCTGGCCAGCCGGAGGTATCAGCAAGGCAGCTGTACCTGCAAAGGTCTTTTAGTAAAGGCGAGGCTGAAAGTACTTCTTTATCCTAGTACTGCTACAGATTTTTAGTTGCACTGGAACAAATGCTGTTAGCTGAACACACACCTCTCCCCTATGCCAAATAACGATCGGCACAACTTGGCTCTCCCCAGGGCACTGTGTACTTCCAGAGGAAACTCCCTAAGTATTGCATTATCCTCAACCCCCCTCGCCCCACCCCAGGAGCACTCCAGGGAGGACAGATTTCCTAGCTGACAGCCACACTCGTTGGCTTGTTGGGTGTTATTAAAACATATCTCCTCCAAATGGCACAAATGACTCAGAGCACCTCTATGCTAACTTTTTCCATGAAAAGCAGTTCAAAACAATTAACTGAGGAAAAGAGAAAACAAAGACAAAGGCTTACTCTTTAAGTTCGCTGTAAATGGGGAGGACTGATGGGTGGCACACAAATGCAAAAGCAATGGTGGGCAAGGCATACACGGTCTGTGTGGAGAGAATTTCAGAAAAGAAGTTAAGAAGTGTTTCCTCCAGTGTTGTGAAGAAATGATCTGTGCTCAACTACCTCAGCTCCCAGCTCTCTGCACTCCACAACCAAATGTCGAGAGACTTCAGAGAAGGCAGAAGACGTGTCAATTAGCATGTATTTAACGAGCTACAGGGAGCAGCGCTCTTTCAACAGGACAGAGTCTTCGTGCTGGTGGTGCAAGCACAGTCCCGACTCTGCTTGCAGAGCGCAGCGCTGGGCGCCACGTGGCTGCTGGTTTTGCTCCCTCGGATGGGTTTCCCTGCCCAGCTACTGTCACTGTCACTAGCACACGTCACGCATCAAAGGGACAATGGTGGGTCACTGCTACACTACCCTGCCTCGGCATGGAGAGGGGTGTGCACCCGTGGTGCTAAGGCTGAAGTCCTGAAGAGGAAGCCCATATCCAGACTGTAAGAAAAGAGAAGAGGAATGCAGAACTTACAAATAAATGGATATTTCAAGGTACCAGACTGAGTCCCTTCATTTCCCAGGCCAATAAAAGGGCCAGAAGGGCTGTGGAGGGAACATGCTTTTCCTTGGGGAAAGAGAGAGACCGTTACGTCACCAGGAAGCACAGGAGGCCTCCAGGGGGGACCTCACCCCCTTCTCCACCAAAAATCTGAATGGGTTTCAGTCCTCAGCATAGAGCCAATCTTCACAAATTATCTCAGCACCCAAGCACTTCCCTTCTCCCCAGGGAACTGGTATGAGCGGAGAACACATGAAAAATAGGCCCTCCTGTGAGGACAAATGTGTACATCCCTATATGCAGCAGTTCTTGGCTCTCTGAGATCTGTTCAGGCTGGCCACAGGCATCCCCTTCCCACAGAAGCCATCCTGGGGTACACCCCAAGTTCAACAGATTCAGTAAATATACTGGTTGCTCTCCAGTGGTCCTTCCTCACCCAGGTCTGTGCCGCCTCTTCTCTCTCACTCACAGCACACTACTGTTGTAGAGTCTCCATCCATCGAGATATTCAGGATTTGCCTGGATGTGCTGCTGGCAACTGGCTCTAAGTGGCCTGGCTTAGGCAGATGACCTCCAGAGGTCCCTGCCAACCTCAGCCATCCTCTGATTCTCTGAAACTGTCTCTCTTCTCACACACCAAAGTTGCTAAAATGCTTGGCAAACCGTTGACCCCAAGGGCACATCTCTAAGGTTCAGCTCCAGTGTGCCTCATTCAGATTGGACCGATCCTTCCCACGTGCCTCTGTCAACCGAGGCAAATGCTGACACTGCAGGAGAGGACTGCTCTTCAGCACTATCTAAAATATACCTACACCTAAGCTGCTGTTGTACTCCAAGTTAACTAATTCTTGGTCTGTCACCACCAGATCTGGGCTGATAGCTACCCCAGATCCATAAAAGTGCTCGGATTTGTTTCTTCAACTGAAGCTGGTAGAATGAATTTTAAAAAATAGTAATTTTTGCATGCGTATGCTACACATGCTCATTCCCTTGAATGCAACTGAGAGACCCTGAGGACCTTTCCTGCCCTGCTGGGTAAGGTGCTGTTTAACGAGCACTGCACCCCATCACAGCTGACAGGAGCAATCCTTCTGCTCCCACAGCTACAGCCAGTTGCTCTTTCACATTCTCTTGGCACAACACTTCCTGCAGCTGTGTGGCGATGGAGGAAAGCATCCAGCTGAAAGGCAATCAAATTTTTGCTGGATTAGCTTTCAACTGTATCCTTTTTGCAATCCAGTTCACCATATGGCCACAGAAACACGTACCCTGCCACAAAGAAGTGGTTTGTGTGCAGAAGGACAGAGGGATTACTTCTGGGCTTCAGATGCAGGAGTGGCTTACTCAGCCTCTCCTGAACTACAGCCGCCTGAAGGAAGAGCTGCAGCACGGATAGTGAGAAGTAGTGGAAAGGAAAACCTCTCCCAAAGAAAGCATTAGTTGTCAGGTGGTAGCTTGGGATCTCAGCCTTAGCACATCTACTATCAGGGTGGAGCAGGACCACAAGGAGGTACATTCAAGATGGCATCTCCATAAGACTGGACAAGGAGATCCATTGGGAATTCACCATCGGAGCATGAGTGGAAGCATGGAGAATCAGGCCTGACGTGGTGCTGATTGGGTTAAGAACACGGGGTCTAGGTCTATGCATTATGTGAATGAAGAATAAATATTATAAAAAGAAACATACCTTGGAATTAAAGATAACATACTTTGGCTTACACATAAGTTCATGTGCTGAGCTATTTGATAGGATAGGTGATGTTGCATTTAGCTCCAATGCGCCACAGGGAATTTGAAACTTCTTGTAAATAACCTAAAATAAGAGCAGAAGACAGCTATTTGCTACAAATGATAATAAGAAACCAAATTAAAATTAAGATGTTGGAGAAATTGTGAATATCCTTTCAAGTGACTCTCATCCAACAAAGAAAGCAAGCTGAACTTACCACTACCAGGAAAAATACCATGCAGCTTAATGAAAATCCACTGGTATAGCCGAGATACCCTGGAAGAAATTAAAAGGAAGTTTTATGCAAAATGATTTTATTAGCCTTATCTTGGTTTTAAATTCTTTTTTGAAGCTTCATGAAAAGTTTAAACATGTTATATATTTAATATGTATCATGAGCTTCTGGGCAGGACAAAAGCATGTCTTATTGGTGTGGGAGTCTCCCACGTTGCAAGCCTCCTGGTTTTCCGAGAGACCTGAGCTTTCTGTGACCAGTTTGGCTCCCTGAGGGTCAGCAGTTTGATTTTGCTTTTGAAAGAGGTTTTAATAATTGATACAAACCCGAAAATGTACAATTGCAATCAGAACGTGACCTAGATTCCCTAATAGAAGCCACTTCATCTAAGTATGGGTTATTTTCTCAACAGGAAGATCCTAACAGGACTTCAGTGCCAAAACCTGTTACGTGGTTTTAAAAAATACATTGTGCATCTACTGGCATCTCTGTGGACTCAAATACATTTGAAAATGCAATCCTCTGTACGCATCTTACTTCAAAGTCCAATACCTCCAATTAACCTCACCACTAAAAATATTGATGATGATAGAAAAATAAGATTTTTTTTTTTTCATAGTTTCACAGTTTGTGCACTTACTTCTACAAGCTATACGTAAAATAGAATTGGCTTGTAAAATGAAGACCCTCTTAAACATAATTTTAAAAATCAGTTTCCACAACTGTATGGATGGAGCTGGTTTATACTGAGTCCAACTGGTGTGAGAATTTAGGCCTGCTTGTTCCAGGATGCTCAAAACACAACTTATTCCTGGATCAAGAAGGCTTAGATTACAGTGAGAGCTCTTTTTTTAATCATAGTTGAATTGGCAGTGTGTCTGGCAGTGGTATTATCCTTGGGCTCCTTTTTTTTTATTGCCACAACAGTATCTGCATCTTACCTAAGTTCTTTAGGAGGCACAAAGGGAGGATGATACCAAAAGTCACTGTGACAACAAGAATCCGGCCATCCACATACCATGCCCTGTATAAAACATTAAAAAGCCATGACTGTGAGCACACCTGAAACCCTCTCTCTTTTTCCTCATACTCAGTCATCCTCACTGATTGCTGCATTATGGAACTATCTTTGGTCTCCTTATTCTACAAGCGTCTACAAAAGAACAGATGGGGCCCACATCTAAACTTTGTAGACTCATTAAGCATCCGTTCCTTAAAATATGGCACTGCACTGACTCAGATACGGCAGATTTTCTAGTCACTAGACAAAATATCACCCTACTACTGACATCAGTGAGTGGGACTGGGAGGCAGAACACCACCCTCTGCAACCTAACATAAAATAACTCTGCCAGAATGAGGAAAGATCATGCAAAAGGCCACACATACAGCACAGTGGGGCAGGGGGGCCACCGTGATTCATTGGGTAAACCACCCAGGCCTGGAGTGACAGACCAGGCTCCTGCGGGCTGGCATGCACTAGCTAGCCCAAGGCTGTATCTTCTTCTAGCAAAGGGCTTTGAATCCTGCTGGAAAGCAAGGAAAGGGAGAAGGGACAGCATTAGTGACGTTCTGTACGACCTATTTCCACTGCTTGGTCCAATTTAGTATGAAAGTCTGAGGAATGGGATGTCTACCTTCTTCTCATGCACTACAGCACATGGAATAACCCAGTGCAAAGGGTATTTGCCACTATAAAGAAATACAATCCTTCCATCAAAGAAGCTGTTTAAACACCAAGGAGTGATAAGTGGCAGAAATCTAAGTATAATAGTCTGCTGTTGTCATGTGCTAGCATCCAAGGTTTTCATACTATGGACACTGCCTCAGGGGAAAAATCCTGTAAGACGATAAGAACACAGGGAAATGCACAATGTCTTACACTTGCATTGTTCCCAGTATCTTCAAGTGTTGCTTAATAATGTAAAAGATCGGATCCTATGATAAGAGGTCTGTATAAATCACAGCTCTTCATGAAAATCTGGTGAGCAAAGAGAGTAACTACTGATGACTTAACCTTTCATGTCCTATTCACCTTCTTTTCCTTCCCAGACTTGTCCTGATTTTTATTAACCCCCTGAGATACTCCTGTGAAAATCTACTTTGACAGCCCTAAAGAGTGTCCAATACCTATAAGCATTTATAGACATATGCTTAAACTTAACTACACAATGTAAAATTCTATAATCTAATCACCAAAATTAATTCAACTTACAAAAAGGAGTCTTCTTCTCCCATTAGAAACTTTATGGCAGAAGGTAGCTCATTTTTGACTATGAAGAGATAGCTCAACATTGCTGGAGGAAGAAGAAAGTCAATTAGAAAATGGGTAGGATGTTTTGTGGAACAAGTACAGAGAAGCATCCTGAACCTTCTCCCAGAGTTTGACAGAAGACCCCAAATTATAATTGACTGTAAACTGCTTATCATTCAGTAATACAGCATTTTTAAGGGGCTGCATACAAAGCCACAGGTATGTTGAGGAGCATGAAGATCCCAAGATGTCACAGAGAAGGGGCAACCTGACTGTTTGGTAGCTGTAACATTATTAATATTTTCCCGGGTTTTACTTTTCAGTACCCTTAATCTCCTTTACCTCCAATGTTCTGCAGAGATGTAGATCCAAAGACAATCATTTTCCCTGGGGCACCGAAGACCTGCTCACCCAGCTTTTCGTACACCATACAGCCTGCATGAAAGGTAACAAATACACCAGGGAAAACTGTTGAGTCGAAACATTTATGATTCCTTTTCAGCTAGCCACCCATCTGTGCAGCCCTCTGCAAGTAAATAGAGAGCTCTCTTGTAAGTCCTAGGGCTGAATCTTAGGTAGGAATGTTTTCTTGACATCTATAAATGTTATCCTTGGCTGCCAGTCACTTTTTGAAATTGAAGCTCTTAATGAGGCTATTACACCCCTTTAATGAGTCTGTCTGTACCTCTAGTGACATGTTAAGTTCTGGCGTCCCCATCCTGGGATATTAGGAGGTTTGTGCCTGCAATGAGAGCCTCGTAGAAAGCGTCCTCTCCGGGCAACACTCAGTGCAGCAGGACCCAAAAGTCAGCACTGGCAGCCTGGTCACAGCAGACACAGAAACACAAGTCTGCAATTTCACTTGGTTTGACTAAATGATCCAAATGAGAGCAGCCACTGGTTTACAGGATTATTTACAGTTTCTAATGATGTTTACTAATCATTAGATGTTTACTGTTGATACAGTTTCTTAACTTGTGAATTCTCGGTGTGGTTTTGGTAAAAGCAAGGAAAGATGTAAATTATAACTGAAACTTCTTTATAAATCTATGTCAAGCTCAAGAAACTCCTCTATTAATTGGTTTGTGTTTCTGTTAAACGTTGGTTTTTTGGTTTTGTCTTTGTTTTTTTCCTTGGCTGTGAATTAGGCTAAGAAAAAGACTGGACATGGTAAAGATGGTGAGATACATGAGAACAGACAGAGAAATACTGCAGATGTTACACTGCACAGATGACTTTGAAAATGCATCCCATTGTTTGGTTTACTCTGCATTTCCGTATAGCTGACATTTCTGCTTTGAAGCTTGTATAAACAGTAAGTTTGAGCTTAAATGTATCAGCAGGATAGAAATCGGGGCTTAGTCTTTGGGAATTAACAGGGCATAAATGTCTCCACAATCAGGCATATGTATCTAATAGGCAGTTGCTGCCATTATACATGCTCTAACAGTAACTCATGTGTGTCCAACTTACATATGAAAATATCATAGTGTTCTTGTGCACAGATAATTTTTTAAATCCGGCTTCAGAGGTTGTTACCTCTGAAAATCAAGGAAAGAGACTCTTGGACTCCAGAGCACAATGATGTTTAACGCTGTAGGTAACTTCTCATTTCTACGTTTAGAATATATCTTGTTTACGGATACACTCCTCTCCCATTTTCTTCTAGGAAATCTCCTCCATCACAAAGGCTATCAGGAATTTCAGACTAACCATTAAGGACAAACTGTATTTCCAGGTAAGTTTCACTATAGGCAAAGATACATTGTATTTCATTTGCAATTGGTTTTGCAATGCAAAGAGACTATGCTATCTGTTCCTTCTTGCTCACCGAAAACACCTCACAGTAGCAGAATTCACTCTTTTGTTGTACATTTTTGTCGTTAAAGTGAGGGTCAGATGCTGTTCTCCATTGCTATGCTATAAATTCTTGTTAATTCGGGGCTTCTGGCCCAAAACGTGTTAGTCATTTCTGTCGTGTCAGAAAAGTGATAGAAATTCTGTCTTACACAAAACACCTGGCCTTATTTGAACATTTTTTCACCTCTTGTTCTTTACAATTCTATTGAAAGGGTATAATAATATATTAAATTACCTGTTTCTTTTGAACACACCAACAGGAGATATATTGAATAAATAGAGAGCAGCGTCACTGAAACCAGAAGTATCCTACAAAAGAATGGAATAAAAAAGCTTACTGGAAGAGCTAAGCTCTAACTTTGCAATATTTCACATCAGGTCATATTTACATTGACTCCAAGATAATTTTTGTACTATTATGACAATGCAAAAAGCTCTAAAAATACATGTGATTCACATGCTATTTGCAGTTCCACCACACCACTGTGGAGGTCAAAAGTCCTGCATGCAGAGAGATTCAACCAAACAAAACTTGGCGGAGCTGCAGAGTGCAGCCTGTTAGTGAGTTACACCTCCCCAGACTGAAAGAAGCAAGAATAAAGATATCTTATCAGATAGGAATTGAGATTTAATGGAAGCAGGGGTGAGCCAGCTATGTCCCTCACCACCCACTCTAAAGCTTTTTATTCTGGAAGCAGAGTGAAAGTTTCAAAGGGAAGCTGTCTATTTAAGGACTTCCATACTAAATGGAAGCATCTTTTCCCAGGACATATTTCATATGCTACCGAAGCATGTCCAAATGGCTTTTTATGTGCCTCCTAGTACCCCAGGAGGAAGAAGAGGAAGGAAGTTAAGGCTCAGCTGGCTTCTCTCAGGAATAAAGGCATAAACCAAAGGCTTATACTTTGTCTAGGTGGTGAGTGGTTTTCCCTCACTGATGTCACTCATGCTCTGCTGTGATCCATAATTCAACTTCACACAGAAGAATTGCAGGAAGTAATGACCAAACTGTTTGTGTAGGGGACTTGCTGGCACAAATGATAATTAGTCAGTGCCAGCGGCTAAGTGCATAAAACCACATTTGCTTATTGCTCTATGTCTTTAAGCCAAGCACCATGTGTGCCTTCCTTTCCAACATTCTGACCCACAAAGACCTGATGATGTTTTCATGATGTGTGTGAAGAGCATTCAGACAATCTGTTGGCAATTCTTCTCTTTATTATGACAACTTCCCTCAGGACGCTGAGAAAAACAAGCCTAAAATTTAAAGAGAAAACAAGCTGCTGCCATAGATGGGCAGGAACACACCTTTTACATAGAAATACATAGAAAGAACAAGATGAGAAGCCTCCTCCCCCGCCCTTTTTATTATTTTAGCCTAGAAATACTTTAGGACCAAGTAACAACCCACAAGTTTCTTGGGGCCAGAGGAGCAGGGAGAAACAAAGATGTGACAGGAGGAACTGTTCTTGATGGCTGACACTAACAACACACTCTTTGTACAGTCCGAGGGTTGTTTCTCCTTGAGGAGAAGGAGAAGAGAAGGGAGATTGTACTGACTGAGGTCACTCTGCTCCTTTTCCTCCAGATTTGCTAAGCCCTGCGCCTGTCCTTGTTCCCTGCAGAGCCGTTACGCCCCGTCTGCCTGCAGCCACGGTGCTCACAGCCTCCAGTGCTCAGCTGCTGGGCTGACTCACACCCAGCCCCAAATGGCTCCAGCTCCACATGCCAGCAGCGAGTCTATTTTCATATTAAAAGCGCCTGTTTTTCAGGCTCTGAGCTCATGGAGCCTTTGCAGGGGTAAAAATAACAGCCCTGAGCAGCCAGGTATTTATCTGCTCTGTTGTCCTTAGCTCCCCGTAGGGTTCTTACAGAGACACTTGGCATTTTCATCAGCGCCGTATAAACCCTTGTTTGTGTTAGGACTGTGGCACGGACAGGGATATCTGCACCAGAACCACCCCTTGGAACGGAATGAAAACGTCCATGCCACTGGCTCTGCACAAATTCAAAACAGAAGCAGGGGAGCGCCTGCACTGCAGTCCCAAAGGCACTCCCCAACTTCTTATTTTGCCTGCTTATAAAAAAGTGTTGGCAGCTATGCAAGCAACCAGCACACGCAAAAGCCACCTCCCCCCAGTAAACTCAGAACAAACAGTTTAGGGCAGGGGACTGATACAGTGCTGGGAACAATAAACTGTTCCTGCGATGCCATTGCTATTTGATTCCAGCTGCCACATTACCAGGTAGCTGAAACACGTGCTGTCCCCAGCCCTCTGTGGAATCTCAGGCTTTAGGGCCAGAAGACCTGTCAGGCTCATGCAGGCACATGTCTTATGGCATGGAACAATTCTGAACCCTCAGAAGGTGTTGGGTGCAGAAAAGCATGGCAGAGAGCATGGGGTTTGCCACCGTACGGCCTCCCAGAGGGCTGGTCTGCCAGGCTGCAAAGTAATTCCTCCAGCTCTGGAGGAGCTAGGCTGCAGCTTCGTGAGTGCTTCCAGCCAACCCTAGCAGAAGCAGCTGCAGAAAATAGTGTAAAGTGACAGTTGTAGTCTCATACTGTACCTCATCCAACAAGCCCATGCGCCCCACTAGGGTTTTTTACATCAGATGCAGTGCTGGGCTTATTGCAAGCTGAAGGTGCTTGGCTGGCCTGTGTGGCCCTGCAGTGAGGTCCATCACTTTGATCCTGGCTTTCTAGGATGAAACCACAGGCAGTGATGAGTGCTCCTGCCATAACTAGGTGGCCTGGCTGATCTCTAACTCCCCAGGCCTTTTGTGCTATCCTTCTGCAGCAAGGCTTTCTTCCCTTCTGCATACACGAAAGGATTTTAGCCTTTGGTCTAGGCTGTAGTTAACATCACTGGGATTAAGTTCCTCTGAATTCCTACCTCAGTTGTTTTGCTTAGAAAGTGTGACACTTTGCTGTGGCACTATGTTATGCAAATAGGATGTGAGAGTATGTACTCTTTGTGTTTATTTTGCATGTCTTATGCCAAGAACATAGGATCTGAACTGATCCAGGTGTACATGGCAGTGCACATTTCACTCTGCAGGAGCCTAAAAGTTGTGAAGAGTGGAAACCAGGCTGGGTCTGCTTTGTTAGCACTGAAAATGCTCCTCTAATTTATCCACCTCTGCTTTCTGCTTTTCAGGGATGGTGCATACCAATTCTGGATAAAGCAACCTAGAAACTTTCCAGAACTGTGCTACTCAAGAGACATGAATTTAAATTCTTTCTTATGTGTAGAATGCTATGAAAGTATTGCCAGGACTCTATAGTTAATCACTTATAAAGCAGAAACGGTTCTAAGATCTACCTGTGATAGTGACAGCAGAACTGTATATTTATGGGAAAAATGCACTGAGTGAGAATGAGAAAAAAAAATGAAACTCTGATGGACTATACTTAATTCTGAGATTATTGCCTGATAAAGGAACATCTAAAGCACTTCCACTTTCAGGCATATCTACAGACACATTAGGATCCTGTATCTGCAGGCTTCAAAGGGGAAAGCTCCACTAGCCTCGTCAGTTAGGTCCTGCTAGCTTCCTTACCTTTGATGTCAGCAGGCTGGTCTATCTCCAGGCCAAGAGATCTAAAGGCATTTATAAAGCTAACAAAAACAATTATCCACCTTTAAATATGCACAGTTAATTCTGTGGAGAATAATGCTATTATTTACTGTATAAAATCTCTACATTGATGTTTGGCAGGTTTTCGGACAACGTGGTGGTACAGATCTACACACTCACTACTCAGGCCATGATGAGCCCAGCCACCATTACGTGTTCTTAGAAGTTCCTCTGGTGTTCACATCACTGGTCTGCTGTACTTCACTTATAAGAAACTGCCTTTTTACATCCTTTAGAGCAAACACATTTCACTTAACTCTCTTGAAAAACTGCTGAAAGAATGAGAAGAAGATGAGATTATAGAAAACTAAAGCTGTAAGGAGAAACTGATGGTGGTCTTTGGCTGAGACACCATTACCACAGAAGAAGTAACAACGCTTAAGAGAGGTGATTTTTTTTCTTATTACAGTAGTTTTAGGAACAACCAGCCTGTGCCCTCAGAGGTGTGCTTGTCAGAGCATGGGTGGAGTATCACATGCAGGTTAGAGTACTAGGTAAAAAAGCAGCAAAAATAAAATAAACTCAGTCACTCTGCATAAGAAAGACCTGCATTAGAGTCCAGCTACTTTATACCCTAGCTTGTTGACAACTCAATAATGAAACTTTGTATCTTCTTAATGTAAATGGATTAAATCCTGGGATTATTCCTAGATTTTACCCAACCACACAGCAAACTGTAGCTAGCAGCACGGATGTATCTATCTTGGCACAAAAAAACAGAGCAGATGGCTATATGTACCACTTGGGCCATCCTCTCTGCTCTATACGGGGCTCATATTAGGCATTTCTCCCAAACCTAAGAAATAACAAAAGTTCTAGATTTTTAGATTTGACATTTGATAAATGACACCTCTTTAATCGGTAAACTCAACAGATGTGTTGAACAGTTCTCAAAGATTATAAATTATTGTATTTCTTCCCTCAATTAATATTTATCACTGAAATCTGCACACAATTCCCAACTGATTTCTTAACAATCACTTTTCACAATGAAACGTCTCATACTGTGATCCAGAATAACACTGTGTCTTACTCATTCACTGGCACCATTTCGGTTTTAAACTACAAAATGCTCCTTTGCAAAATGCCTCTTTTTTTTTGCTGGAGTTAAGTAGTCTACCTCAACTCTTTTTTTATACTAAAATCGTGGCTATATTTATGTTGGCTTTCAAGGACTCTCACATAGGAAACAGAAGAAACTGTGGGAGTTAAAATTTATATGTAACATATAAAGGAATATAAAGGTTTGGTTTTGGGTTTTTTTGTTAAAAAAAAAAAAAGTAGTTATTGGACCATGCTTTGATGAAAGCTCTGAAGGTCCTGTGGCACAAGAAAGAGTTAGGTACCATCCCACTGCAACTATTACTATTGAATATTTCTGATGCATGTTTAGCTTGTAGACCACAGGAAAAAATCCCTGGCTAAGCTCAGGTCTGTAGTAAAAACATGGACTTAATTCACTCTAGCCTTACAAATACTGACTTTTCCCTCAGAAAAATCTGAATGAAACAAAAATGGCCAAAACTTGTAGCTAAACTTTTCAGGCTTGAATGCTGTACTTGAATACAGAATGGACTACAAATGCCTCCACTTGCTGGCAGCACACATGTCCTTCAAAAGCAGTGTAACTGCACGGAGATCAGGTACTCGCCGCGCAAATACTTACAGAAAAAGGAGAATTCCCGTGTTGGCCAAGGCGAAAGCGAGCCCCAGAATCCCACTGCCCATAATCGCGTTGCTGAGGTTGAAGACGGACATCCCCAGTGAAGTAGTTCCTGGAATCTGGAGAAGACAGACTTGTCAGCAATGGCTTGGAACGGAGCAGGGAAAGGAATCTGTGCTTCAAGCTCCACATTTTGCAACGTACGAGATATAAATAACTACTGCTAGGGAAACAGCCTAATGAAAGTTGGTTGGAAAGAGGGAAAAGCATTGTTGAGCCCTGTCACAGCTACACTCTGATCTCTGTCCTATAGATTTTGCAAACTCAGTGCCAGTGGTATAGGCAATACACAACTCATACTACACTTTCAATTTCAAACCCTATCTTTCACTAAACATGTGAAACATGTTAGGCGTATGACTTATATATTGTAAGGCTGTAAGGAACCACAAGGACTTCCTGCCTAACACAGGCCAGAGAGATTCCCTTGCCTCGACTCGACCAAAATGCTGGTTTTTTTTTTTTTTTTTAAGTGCTGAGCACAGGCAGTTCGTACTGGAACCTGAATTTCAGTGACAGTTGTGTGTGTCCAGCACTTTTAAATACCGTGTCTAAAGGCCCTTCATATACAAAACATTTAGTTCATCTTGACAGGGAAAAGAACAGCAAAAGAGACTTACATATTCATCGCATTTCTTCTTTTCCAGGTGGCTGTTTGTGAGACTTCTTCTGCTTTCTCGATCCGAAATAAACTTGCTGAAAGAAATCAGAGGATTTTTATCCAGCAAGTGCTTAGAAAATGTGAATGCATTAATTCCGTGAGCACTGTGTAATTACAAAATATGGAACATATAAAAAATGTATGCAAAAAGAGGTCAAACTCATAACTATTTAATGAGCCAGATTAAGCTTCACTGATACCAGTGTACATTGGGCATCAATAAAGATAACACCACTACAAGATCAGGCTAAATGTTTATAAATAGTCTTTTAGGAGATTTATTAAAGCAGCAGCACTGGTTTTATTGACAGGAAAGTAATTTATTTCTACAGACACAAAGAGAAGATACTTGTCCAGGTGTCCTGCAGAAGTGCATGTGACCAGTAGCCCCTGCTCCCAACTCCTGTTTATGCAGTCAGCATAACTAACACCATTTTATAAGGCAAGTAGCTGTTCTCTGTGACTGAACTGGTCATGTATTCATTCCTTTTCCCTTATTATCAGGCCCTGAAGGCCCTGTGAAACAAGTAGACAAACCAAACAGATTTCTTCTTCCCCTCCTTACTGGCCTCAAGACCCCTGGGCGCCAGCTTGATTACTCCATTCCCTGCCAGCCTTGAAGGCATCCCAGGCATCCAGCCCATGAGATGGTGGTGATGACCCCCTCTCAGAAGAGGGAAGTGTAACAACACCTGGAGCACTGTCTGTGAAATCCAGCAGTTACAAGTCCTAAGCAGGAACTTGGACCAGAGCTGACGCTGGACAGTGAGACCCAGGACCCTCTGGTGGCCATGGACACCCCCATCAGCCTCTGCTTCCTCCGAGGACTAAGCGAGTGGCTCACATTCTTTTATGTGATTTTTGAGTCTAGATTATGATTGCTATAATGATACAGCAAACAATGTATTAAGATCTGACCCAACCTGCAGAGGGTCCATGTGACTAGAAATCATACATCAAGTTGTATTATAAACTCCGTATCATGATGCTTATAGATTGTACTACATTGATTCTGCTTGTAGCAGTCCCGTGCCATTCTAATCATAAATTCTGTAGTACACCAATCATAATATCCTGGTAAGAAAATAAAGCTTTAATTGTAACTATGATTTAGTGCTGTCATCATTCTTCCAAGGATCCCTGAAAGAACCTGTCTGTCCCTCACTGTTGGGTGACAGTGCAGCCCTACGGAATCCTAACTTGCCATGGTAGGGTCAGTATGGCTGGAGTTAAGAGGAGGAAGAGGAGCTGCACACAGCTAGCACTGCCCAAACCATCCTGAACCGGGCGATGTGCTCTGTTGGTTCAGGGCTAATGGATTTTGATTTAAATGTCTTTCAAAATTCAATACTGTTTTCATCATACTGCCAAATTAAATGCTTTTGTTCATGGAAACATGGAATAAACAGCTTTTTTTTTCTCTGCCCTCTTTACTTGTTTTGTGTCCTTGATACATCCACATTTAGGAACTTGCAGTCACCAGAACAAGATTTGCCTCCTGTGGCTGTGTTAGTATCCCTGGGATTTATGACACTTCTGATTTGGATGAGCTGTTATTTTCTCCCAGATTCTGTCTTCAGCAAACGTTTTAGTTTGTACAAAGCATTCTTTCATTTTTTCATCTTTTGAAAGTTTATGCACAATTAAATCCCTGGCATCTTTGTTAATCCACAGATGGTTCTTAGGCTGCACTGGCTAATGCATCAGCCATTGTACGTGTTAACATACCTAAACAGGGGCTGTCACCAAGTGTCAGAGACTTTTAGCTGTAGGTAAATTAAGGTGGCTTTTCTTAAATTAAAACAGACAATATGCTGAACACAGGGAGCAGGACCACTGGTCCTTTCCCATAGATGGGAACGTCCACTGACGCAGTTCAAACTGTGACTCCAAAACTGTGCTGGTAATATAACCATGAACTCATAAAGACACAACTCTGTCAAACTTCCCCGATGCCCTGGTTGTGGCCTAATTACTAGCAATATATGATAGCACAGCTCCTAAGTGTATGCCAAAATCATGCAGTTATAGTGCTGCTGACTTGGCTTCCACAACTGACAACACTGGGCTCTGTGTCTTCACCATTTTGTGCACCACATACACATTTTGAATTTATCCCTTAAATCCAGCCACAGCTGGCAAGATGTATGCGGTATTTTTACTGGTTTTGTTGCAACTTTGATTCCTACACATTGGTTTGCTTTGACTTCCTTTGTATTAATGAAAAACAACTACAGGCTTCCCCTGTGTTTTTTTTTAACTACAAACTTCAGCAACTGATTTGCTGCAAAATACAGACACTGTGCCAGGTTTACCAGCCTTAATGCAGTTGGAATAGAAGGCTGAAACTCCCCCTACTTTTTTAAGAAGTGAAAAGTAACCACTTCTAAGGTAGACTGATCCAAATTTAACTTTCCAAAGCTCACCATGTAAGTATTTCAACCTCATGCCATAAAATCTCAACCAGAGTCAGAGCATGTGTTTTTTTTCATGTCTGTTTAAAGCTCATCTCTTGAACCCAGGCAGCAGAGTGTGCATGGTTTGAAAAAGACATTCCATCTCTCTCTTGAAACACCCCGCGGGCCATTTGTACAGGCAGGAGAACAGAGAAGAGTTTTGTCTCTTTTGGATTTGTAAGTGCTTCTGGGAACATCTGTGGACTTTGCCTTCTTCTGTCATTTATGGAGATCTTGTGTCATTTTAGATTTTGTCAGTGTTATGGTAGAAATAACTAGTCTGCTACCCCTACTTCACCTCATGTCTCTGTAGCCAGTCCACCCTTAACAGTTACAAAAATAACAAATTTGTAGATACCATTGTTGTTGCCACTTGGTATTAAAGTTCGATGAGAATTATTGTTAAAGAACTACCACATGATAAAGAAAACAGTTGTGTAATATTGCCTGAATATAAAGTGACTGTGGGACTTTCCACTAGAATACTTTTGACAGAGTAAACTTCTGGAGAACTGGTTCTGGCTTCTGGAGAACTGGTGTCTTCTGTTGCCAACGAACACATTATTTCCTTCTGGACAGGGCTTTAAGAAAACTAGCCTGATTTGTTACATTGTTCCAAAGCACTTTCTTTTGAATTAGGCCTACATTAAAACGCACTGGGCTTGTTGCCTAGCCTCTCATCTCCTGTTACAAGAGCTGGGCTTCTCATCCACCCCGTGTTTACCACGTCACACTGCACATTTTTCTCCATTTATGCTGTGATGTGTACGGGAAGGCAAAGTCAGACAGGGAATGTGGCTGCTGGGCTCAAAATCACAAGGTACGTTGTGCCTGGCTTTTTCACAGGGTGCTTCCCCGCACCTGCCTCCTAGCCCCAGGATGGCTCGCCCAGAAGGCTCAGCAGCGATGCAGTGCTGGGGCGTGTGGGGTCTGCCTGATCTGGAGGCTGGGCTGCCTGTGCTACTGCAGGCAATCTAATCTACAAGTCCAGATGAGAAGGTTGCCTCAGGACCACGCTTGTTAGGTGGTACAGATGTACCATATGACAGCCTAAGTTTTCCATAAATGGAATGTATTACTCAAAAAAACAAACAAACAAACAAACCCCACACAACCAAACCACACAAAGTGTGTGTGTGTGGGGGGGAAGTAATCTAATGAATTCAACAAAAATCAATTTTCCCCAGATTTTTCTTTTTATAAACTTTTTTTTTTTTTTTTCCCCAGGATGGTTTGTTCCCCTATTACCTATGCAAGGTAACATATGTTAGAATACTGGAATTTCTGGTTAAACTGTGACATGCATCTGCTCAGCTTAGTAGATGTGCTTAGAAAATGAGCTATTAGTTGTCACAGAATGTTGTATATTTGACCTTTATAAATGTGACACGAATGACATGAAACTCCTGTTTACTCCAGCCTCTCCCAGCCCTCCTAAGGACTAGAGGCCACGGTGACAGGTGCTGTGGAACTGCGCAGTAGGACCGTCTGTGCCATCAAAGCCTTGTGACTCCCTAACAAGCATGAAACCCATTTGTAATGTTTGTCTTCTTAATTTCAGATGCTTTACTCATCAAAGACATAACCTGTTCTTATATGTTTCTGCTTTCCTGTTGTGTTTCCTGCATCACAATAGAGCATGAACAGCTTATACAGAACTTTTCAGATACATTAATAAAATATCCTGGACAAAAAATAATCAGCTCATCCTTGTAACACATGAAGCCTCAGCTTGGAAAGAATTTAATCTAATTCTTCATCTATTTATTTTCCTGGTTTGATTTAATGAAAACAGAAACATAGCCTTATTGATAAAGTGTTTTGAAAAGGACCATGTTTAACTATGGTTTCCAAACTTATTTTATCAAAGGACTCAAATGAGAAATTTTTATTAAGGTGGTATCCCCAAGCTAACCATTTTGGTTAGGCAGAGCCAGCCAAAAACCATTTAGCCACCTCAGATATGTTTAAACGTAATTAAATTAAAGTGATATTTGACAATGCCTTAAATATTTGTTAGGGAAAGTTAATTTTGCCAAGATGACAGAACTTTATCCTTAGGCAGCTTCTTAAACTGAGCGCTAACTTGAGCAAAGGCAAAGATTTCCAGGGCAGGCAGGAACAAGAAATGCAGAAGAAACCTTGGTCTGACTAACACTATGAAACTTCAACCAGAATTGGGTATAAGCACTAACAGTCTTCTTAACCAAAAAAGAGGTGCTGAATACTTACTAGTAGCTGTAACCCAAGACTGGGATTCAGCCAGAAGCTTCCTGTGAGCATCATGATAGTTACAGAGAAGAAGTCATCTAAATACTGGTTTACAATTATGTGCAGAGATGGCAAAGTATTATAACCAGGATACATAGTTAAAAGTCACCAAATCCATGTCTGGTTTTGATGCAAGTCTCTTAAATGAGATTCCCAGAAGAAATTCAATGTTTGCATACAAAGGAAAACTTAGCCCCCTACAGCTTCCCTCCCTACATAATGCTGCATATATAAATGTATATTTAGGCCCAGAAAAGGGTGGAAATCCAAAGGAAACTAGTGAATTCTTTTCCAATATCAAGAAATATTTGGAGTTTACAACCAGACATGGAATCAGCTTCTCCCTGGTATACCTTCTCCAAAAGACCCTTAAAAACTCTGCTCTACATTAAGCTTGAAAAATTACGCACTGGGAGGAAAAAATACTTAAAATCAATAGAGCGCAAAATTAATCAGGTTGAAACAACAACAAAAAGTTAGTTGAAAATTACAGATCTAATCTAAAGCTCAAGTGAAATCAACAGAAAAAGTCCCACTAATTTTGCTGGACTTTGGAGTTTCACAAGGCCTCACACCATGTGCCAAGCAGCACAAAATGTGTTCTTCCATACGCCCATTAACTTTAATTCCATGGAGACAGGGTGTTTGCCAAAAGAGTTCCAGAAAGGGAATAACCACATCCACATGGGATGTGTTTGACACAAGGTAGAGAGCAGGGCCTCTGTGCCCTCTCACCACCTGTGTGAGCGTGGAGGTGCTTGCACAGGACAGTGGCCCGAGAGCACCCTGGCAGAGGAACAGAGAACTGTAATGGGCTATGTCTTGCAACCAGATGATGTTCTGCAGAGGAAAAAAGTTATCCAGAAAGGAATGGAAAATTGTGGAATACGTTCATCTGCCCTAAGAGCCAGAACAGCAATCAGAAATTCTGCCTTTGAGTTTCTGACACTCTTTCTTCACCCTACTTTTCTTCTTCCCTGTGCAGGGAGCCTGGATCTGATCCAGACCTTGCCATGCTTACTATGCCCTAACTCCACAGAGCACGCTGTGACTGCAGAAGATCAGGCACACAGGGCACACACACTCCTTCCCTGCCCTCCATAAACATTCACTGGAAGATGAAGCACTAACGGGGTTTTTCCCCATAACAGTTACTGGCGGCACCAGCCAAAGAACTGGGGAGGCGCAGCCAGCCTGGTGCAGCCACTCCTTCTCTCAGGGACATAAATCCTCGGCAGGCTCCAGGGAGCACATTCACTACTGTCAGCCCTTGAGCTCCTCACCTACAAAGTGAGCCAGCAGGAAAGCAAGCAGGTTCATACTGGAACTGTTTTGTTTTGGCAAAGTTCAAGGGGTTTTTTGTCTTTCTCTTGCCTTACCCCCACCCCCCCTTTTTTTTTTTTTTAACAGAAGTGGTTTGTGTTTTGTTTTGGCACTTTCCATCAAAGCAGTTGCATCAGAAAATTCCTGACCAGCTCTAATCTTCCTCGGTGCAGCTGTGCTGCGGTCGCACCACTACAGCTGGTGCCCGCCCCAGGACTTCCCCTCGGCGGGGGGGGCGGGCGGAACAC